AGGTTGACCCCAGCGTGCACAGCCATGAGACACGCCCCCTTCGCACATGAGTGTGCGACACGGCTCTCTCCACCCCTGGCTCCAGATTTTGCTTACATGTCCGCGGGGGGTGGAGTCTGGAGTCGCACCTCTTGCACGCTTGCGCCAGGGTTGGGATCCGGACTCATGCTTCTTACATGCCTGCGAGGGGGGGATCCAGAGTCACACCTCTTACACACTTATGCCAGGGCTGGTGTCTGGAGTCTTGCCTCTTCAGGGGCTGGGGGGCAGTGAATCTGGAGTCATACCTCCTGCATGTCGGTGGGGGGGCACGGTCTGGAGTCACACCTCTTACACACTCATGCCAAGGCTGGAATCCGGAGTAACACCTCTTAGGCACCTGTTTATGGGGGGAATCTTGAGTCACATCTCCTACACACCTGTGTGGGGGGGGGTCCTCTGGAGTCACACTTCTTATACACTTGTGCTGGAGTTGGAATCCAGAGTCATACCTCTTACACGCCTGCAGCATGGGGGGATATCTGGAGTCATACCTCTTACATGCTCGTGTGGTTTGGGAACCCAGTCACACCTCTTGCACAGTCACACTGGGGCTGGTATCTCGAGTCGTGCCTCTTACGTGCCCACAGGGCAGGGGGGATCTGGAGTCACTCCTCTTCCACGCTTGTGCTGGGTCTGGAATCTGGAGTCACCCTTCTTACATGCCTGCATGGGGAGGAGAGAATCTGGACTCATGTCTCTTACATGCCCACATGGGGCGGCAAACCCGGAGTCACGCCTCTTACACGCCCACGCAGGAGGGCAAAATCCTGGGTCATGGCTCTTACACACCCATGTGGGGGGGGGTGGAATCTGGAATCACTCCTCTTACACACCCATGTGGGGGGGGCAAAATCAGAATCATGCCTCTTACACACCCACATGGGGGGGACAAATCCGGAGTCACGTCTCTTACATATGACCCGTGTGGGGGGGGGTGAATCCAGAGTCATGCCTTTTACACACTCACTTGAAGGGTGAAATCTGGAGTCATGCCTCTTACACACCCACATTGGGGGTGAATCCAGTCATGCCTTTTACACACTCACTTGGGGGTGAAGTCTGGAGTCATGCCTCTTACACACCCACGTGGGGGGGCGAAATCCTGGGTCACGCTTCTTACACACCCAAGGGGGGGATAAAACCCAGAGTCCCACCTCTTAGACACTTGTGCCAGGGGCAGGATGGGGGGTGTCATGTGGGGTGTGACCCCCCACCCCCAACAGCTCCCCCCAGCGGGGGGCACTCCCTCCACCATTAACCCTTTTGCTCCTGCAGCAGCAGCAGTGGCGGCGGCTCTGCCGGGGCGTGTGTGTCTCCTCCATCTCCCTCTTTTTCTTTTGGTTTTTAGTTTGAGTTAAAAACCGGGAAAGAAAAAAAAGGAAAAAGAAAGAAGCATCAAGCCCCGCTCCGTCTCTCTCTTTCTCCCTCCTTCTCTCTCTCTCTCTCTCTCTCTTCTCTTCCCTTTTTTTAATTATTTTTTTCTTTTCCGTTCTTTCCGGCATCCGGACCCCCCCTCCCCCCAGGGGGCTGGATGTCTGTCACAAGTTAAAAGCGCTTTTAAATTGTGGCACGAGGGCGGCCCAACCTCTTCTCTGTGCGTTTATATGACTCGTCTTTTTTCTTTCTTTCTCTTCTCTCCTCTCCTCCCCCCGAGGTCCTGCTCACCTGATGTTAAACAGCCAAGGTACGAACCTTCTTTCCTTGTTTGCCCCCCCTGCCGCCCCCTTCTGTTCCCATCTTCCGTCCGTCCGTCCGTCCGTCCGTCGCTCCATCCATCCATCCATCCATCCATCCCTCGCTCCGCTCCGCTCTGCTCTCTGCTTTGCCGCCACTTTGGTTTCAACGCTCCCTCCATCCGTCTCCCGTACCCCCACCCCACACACCCCCCTTCCGCCCCGCGCTGGGAGCTGTCCGCCCAGGAGAGCGGGGGCAGCCGGGGCCGGCGGGAGGGGGCCACGCCGGGAGGAGCCGGGGCGTGACGGCGGCGGGCTGGGCCCTCGCACGGAGGCACCAGAGTGTGAGTGTGGGTGTGTGTGAGTGTGTCCTGGTGGTAGAGAGACGCATGGGTTTGAGTACAAAGACACAAGAGTGTGCGTGGGTGTGTGTCCTGGTGGTAGAGATGCACAGGTGCGAGTATGAAAAAAAGAGTGTGTGAGTGTGTGTGTGTGTCCTGGTGGTACAGACATGCTCAGGTGTGAGCACCGAGACACAAGAGTGTGAGCTTGCAAGTGTCCTGATGGTACAGAGACACAGGTGTGAATACAAAGACACGGGAGCGTGAGTGCATGTGTGTCGTGGTACAGAGACACACAGGTGTGAGTATGAAAAACAAGAATGTGTGTGTGTGTGTGTGTGTGTGTGTGCGCGCGCGCGCTTATGGTACAGACATGCATGGGTGTGAACACAGAGACACAAGAGTGAGCATGTGAGTGTCTGGGTGGTACAAAAATACAAGTGTACATGCGTCCTGGAGGTACAGAGATGCACAGGTGTGAGTACAAAGACACAAGAGCATAAGTGGGTGTGTGTCCTGGTAGTACAGAGACGCACGGGTGTGAGTATGAAGAAACAAGAGTGTGTGTGTGTGTGTATGTGTGTCTTGGTGGTACAGACATGCACGAGTGTAAATGTGAGCATGCAAGTGTCCTGGTGGTACAGAGATACAAGAGTATTAGTACAAAGACACAAGAGTGTGAGTGTAAATGTATCCTGCAGATACAGAGAAATACGGGTGTGAGTACAAAGACACAAGAGTGTGAGTGTGTGTGTGTCCTGATGGTACAGACATGCATGGGTATGAACATAGAGACACCAGAGTGTGAGCATTCGAGTGTCCGGGTGGTACAGAGACACAAGAATACTAGTACAAAGGCAAAAGAGTGTGAGTGTACATGCATCCTGCAGGTACAGAGATACATGAGTGTGAGTGTGTGTGTGTCCTGGTGGTACAGACACATATGGGTGTGAGTACAGAGACACAAGAGTGTAAGTGTGCATGCATCCTGGTGGTACAGAGACACGAGAATGCTATTACAAAGACACAAGAATGTGAGTGTGCCTGTGTCTAGGTGGTACCGAGATGCACAGGTGTGAGTATGAAGACACAAGAGTGTGAGTGTGCATGCATCCTGTGGTACGGAGATGAGTACAAAGGCACAAGAGTGTGAGCATGCATGGTCTTGTACCTGGCGGTACAGAGACGCACAAGTGTAAGTAGAAAGACACAAGAGTGTGAGTGTGCATGTGTCCTGGTAGTATAGAGACACATGAGTGTGAGTAGAAAGACACAAGGGTGTGAATGTGTGTGTGCCCTTGTGATAAAGATACACAGGAATGTGAGCATGCATGTGTCCTAGTGGTACAGAGATGCATGAGCTTGACTACATGACTACAAAGACACAAGAGTGTGAGCGTGCACATGTCCTGGTGGTACAGAGACACATGAATACAAAGACACAAGAGTGTGTGTGTGTGTGTGTGTGCCCTCGTGATAAAGATGCACAGGAGTGTGAGCATGCATGCAACTTGGTGGTACAAATGCACAGGTGTTGAGTACAAAGACAAAAGAGTGTGAGCGTGATATGTCTTGGTACAGAGACACACTGGTGTGAGTACAAAGACAAGAGCGTAGGCTTGCATGCATTCTGGAGGTAGATGCACACAGGTGTGAGTAGGAGGACACAACAGTGTAAGTGCTTGCGTGTACTTGTGGTACAGAGACACAAGAGCATCCAGGCATGTGTCATGGGGATGTGAGCTATCATCCAGAGACACAAGAGTGCAAGCATGTGTACATTCTGGTACAGAGACACAATAGCGTGAGAGCATGTGTGTGTCTTGGTGGTAGAGACATAAGAGTGAAAGTGTGCCTGACCTGGTGGTATGAACACTTGAGTGTGCATATGTCCTTGTGATATAGAGACACAAGAGTGTATGTGTGTGTATCTTGGTAATACAAAGAGACAAGAAGGTGAGTGTGCATAACCTGGTGCTATGAAGACTTGAGTGTACATTTGTCCTGGTGATACAGAGACACAAGTGTGTGAGTGCATACATCCTGATGGTACAATAACATCAGTGTGTGTGTATGTGTACCTCGTTGTAGGTCAGAGACACAAGTGTGTGGATGTGGTGTGTGTGCATCCTGATAGCATAGATACACCAGTTTGTGTATGTGCGCACATGTCTTGATTGTACAAAGACACAAGGATGTGTAAGGGTGTGTGTGTCCTAGTAGTATGGAGACACCAGGTTGTGTGCGTGTATGTCCTGGTTGAACAGACATATGAGAGCGTGCAGGCATGTGGTGTGGTGGTCTGGGCCCTCGCATAGAGACACGAGAGCGTGAGTATGTGTACATCTTGGTACAGAGACTTGAGAGTGTGAGTGTGTGTGTGACCTGGTGATACAGAGACAAGAGATTGTGTGTGTGCACGCTCACATCCTGGTACAGAGACACAGCAGCATGCAGGTTTGTGTCATGGTGGTCTGGGCCCTTGCACAGAGGCACAAGAGGGTAAATGGGTGTGCACGTCCTGGTGAGACAGACATGTGAGAGGGTGCATGTGTTTGTGTCATGCATACAGTGCAGATACAAGAGTGTGTCTGTGCATGTGTCCTGGTGGTACAGAGACATGAGAGTGTGCAAGTATGCATCATGGTGGTTTGGGCCTTTGCACGGAGACATAAATGTGTGTGTGCGCACGTGCACACGTCCTCATGGTACAGACATAAGAGTGTGTGTGTGTGTGTGTGTGTGTGTGTGTGTCCTGGTGGTATGGAGACAAAACTCTGCAGGCTTGTGTCACAGTGCCATGAGTCTTTACACGGGGACAGGAAAATATGCCTGTGTGTGTACCACTGAAACACAGACATGAGAGCATGCATGTGTGGGTTCCCTGGTGGTACAGACACGTGCCGAGACATGCATGTGTGCACATGTGCAAGTCAGGGTGGCAGGGTCCCTTCACTCAAGACACAGGATGTGTGCAGCACGTGTCCTGGTGTCACAGACAAGTGAACAAAGGCACAGAGGCATGTGCACAGCACAGGTGCTCACAGTGAGAGACACGGGTGTGAGCTGTCGTTCAGGTGGTGTGGAAGCTTGCACTATGGTGTGTGTGAGTGAGTGTGTGTGTGTGCGTGTGTGTATGCATCCCCTAGTGGCACAGGCCCATGTGCTGAGAGATTCCGTGTGTCCATCCTGTTGGTGCAGAGGGTCACACAAACACACCAGGACGTGTGTTACTTGTGCCTTGGTTATGCACACTAGCACTGAGACATGAAGGGGCGTGTGCCAGCCTGGGGGTAGGTCCCTTGTCCTGAGACTCAGACCATACACGTGTGCCCTGGTCACACAGACAATGACTCCCAGACATGGAGTGTGCCTGCCTTGATAGGGGAAACCCTTGCACAGACACGAGGGCCCGTGTGTGCCTGCCCTGGAGAGACAAGAGTATATGCACACATGCTTAGGAGCACAGACAGTTTCTCACAGACATGAGTGTGTGGGGGGGGGCACATGCATGTGTCAGTACAGACACAGGCGCAGAGACAAGAGAGCACGTGTGTGTGTCATGGCAGTCGAAACACAAGGGCATGTGCCTTGGTCCAGTCTGTTTGGATGCTCACACGGGGGCCAAGGGTACGTGTGCGCCCTGGTAGGGTGGACGTTCACGCTGAGACACAAGGGCATGGATGTGTGAGTCATGGTGGTAAAATACCTCATGGCTAGACATAGTGGCATGTACGTGTCCTGATGGTACAGGTGTGCAGACTCAAACACAAGGGCACGTGTGTGTGCGTGTGTCCTGGTGATTCAGATGTGTGTGCTGAAACACAAAGAAATGTGTGTGTGTGTGTGTGCGCATGTCCCCTGGTGATCCAGATGTGCACACTGAAACATGAGGGAGTGTGTGTGCACATGTGTGTGTACGTGTGTATGTCCTGGTGATCGAGACATACATGGTGAAACATGAGGGAATGTGTGGGTGTTTGTCCAGGTGATCCAGACAAGCATTCTGAAACATAAGGCGGGGGGCGGTTTCTGTGTGTGTATAAATGCACGTGTGTGTAGGCTTGTGTCCTGGTGATCCAGATGTGCATGCGGAAACATGAGGGGGAGAGAGAGAGTGTGCGTGTGTCCTGGTGATCCAGATGTTCACGCTAAAACAAGGGAGCGTGTGTGTATCCTGGTGATCTAGATGTGCATGCTGAAACATGAGGGAGTGTCCATGCTTGCGTGTGTGTGTGTGTGTCCACGTCCTGGTGGTCCAGTTATGCATGCTGAAACACAAGGGAGTGTGTGTGTGTGTATATGTGTGTGTTCTGGTCATCCAGACACTTGCACTGACACAGGAGGACATGGTTGCACCAAGACAGGAAAGCATGTGAATGCGTGTCCTTGCGATCCGTGCACTCACACTGACACGCAAGGGAGTGTGTATGTGTGCTCTGGTGATACAGGTGTCGGTGCTGATAGAGGAAGGCTTGTGCATTTAAGACACTTGCCCATAGACACAAGAGTGTGTGGTTGTGTATCCTGAACGTACAGACCCAAAACAACAGAATGCAGTTCAACGAGGAGAAATGCAAAGTGCTGCACCTAGGGAGGAAAAGTGTCCAGCACAACTACAGCCTAGGGAATGACCTGCTGGGTGGCACGGAAGTGGAAAGGGATCTGGG